GAGCTAGGTCTCAGAGTAGTATAGATCAATAGTTCAGATCAGTAATAGTACAATCAGTAGTTTTCAGCAGTCATAGGATCAGAAATAATTTGTTAGGGAAGATCTTCCCCAATGTGTCCCTGGCTTCTCCTCAAGTCAAACCATCCCCAACTTCTCTGTGCCCTCGTTCAATCCCAGCTGATCACAGGCTATATCTTACCTCTGCACCCTTTTGAATTGGCTCACTTGGCCCCAGCTGCTCTTTCCCTTCCTCTCCCCTGTTGTTTCTTCCAGATTTGACACCTGTCTGATGTAACCACCTTCTCGAGGAAGCATGTCCAGCTTTACTGAGGTTCTCGCCTTTGCTCCTCCAGTTTGACTAGTTGACCCCATGCATAAAAAACAAGGGACTCAGTGGGTCAGAGTTGCAGCTGGGTCATGTTGTAACTGACCTAATAGCTCCCATAGAAGTACTTACTGAAATGTTGGGAATTGTTGACAAATGGGATTCTAGCAGGTCATAACTGAGAACACATTTTATGATGAATCCATTAGTTTTTGCTACTATTGGAAGTTAATGGTTCTCTGTGTCTGCTTTGCCATTGTTTTTGTCCCTTACTGCTCAGCACTTCTTGCACATTAGAGAGATGGCCTTGACAGTAGTGGAAGCCAGTGACTGAATGTGACACCTCCTTTGCTAAGACAGCACAGTTTTCTTTACTGTGCTTTATTTCTATAGCCAGGCACTCACTTGGCATACATCTACAGTCCTTCCACCAGAATGACATTAGTTCCTTTCATGCCTTGATTCATCACGTATTGTGGAGACTGTTAGCTGAGTAAGGCATTTGCTCCATGAAAATATCACCAAATGCACCGGAAAGAGAAAAGCACCCGATGTCTGTTTGCAAGGAAAGCAAATTGATGGTTTATGAGTGAGCTGGGGATGACAGAGCTCCCCAAGCCTTTCTGGGTCTGAGGCTTGGCTCTGTACTAGCATGAGTCTCTGATCCACCACATTCAGTCATCATTCTGGAAAGGCTCAATAGCTTTACTGCTGATCTGAGGCCTGAACACTGTGGTCTCTTAGTTTTCTTAGAATCAGCCTTAAAATTGAGACACACTTACTCAATAATTTGGACCAGAATAATATGTGCCTTTTTGTGCCAGCCCGTGATTAGCTTACTTTTGCATCACTTTATTGACATACCAAAAAAAGCTGAATGTATGCTTTATGAATTTGGAAATGAGCAGACATATGTGAAATCATCACTATAGTTTGTTCCATAAACCTGACCATCATCTCCAAAATTTGCCTTCATTCTCTATGCATTATTTTGGATTGACTTAATTTTCTTCTTCCTTTGAGCTATCAGAACTTTGCTTTTGTCAGTGAAACAAAGAAAGCATTTGCAGTTGGAAATTATACAAAATTATACAAAAGTCTCTGAACATTGATCATGACTGATGCTCTTGGCCTGGGGCAAGGAGTTGGTGATGGTTATGCAAATTGTTCTAAACGATAATGGCAATATACAGAGCTAGCAAGTAGACCTGAAGGGTTTACCGCAAAATGTAAATTTGCTTTCTGAACACCTTAAAAATCTATATGTAATATATTATTCTAGAAAAATGTATGGGCTGTTGAGTGTGTGTGTGTGTGTGTGTGTGTTGTAATTCTTTATTGCACATGGCGGCAAATGAGTGTCTGCAGATGGATAATAGAATTCAGAATAAAAACATTTGAAAAATGTATCATTATAACAATTTAAAATATTGAAGCCTGTTTAAATAACTGATTAATTTGAGCCAGTGTTATGGTGTATCAGGTTAAGCAGCCATCTGCAACACAGGCTTCCCCATAGGAGCAGCAGTTTGAGTCCTGATTGTGGACAATTAGGGAATGAACTGGTGGATAGAACAATCTATCACTCCCTCTCCCTCTTGCCTCTTTTTACTTCTTTACTCACACTCTTTCCCCTTTCTCTGTAATTCTACCTTTAAAATGAACAAACAAAATACCTAAATTTATATGTATTTTTGCATTTATAATTTTTAAATGCCCTGCACCTGTGTGGGAGGCCCAGAAGAAGCTCCCGGCTTTGCATTGGCTCAGTTCTAGTCATTGCAGCCATCTGGGGAGTGAACCCAGTGAATGGAAAATCTTTCTGTCTCTTTTTTTTCTCTATAAACCTACCTTTCTGCTAAAAATAAATCTTTTTTTAAAAATTACTGATTCACTAAAGCCTGGCTACACTTCAGAAACACTTTGAAGACCATGTCTAGACTGTAAAAACCTACAAGGGTCAGCATTGTCAGTTTTTTCCTCATCTGCTTAGTTTTCTTTTTTATAAAAATTTCATTCTTTATTTGAAAGGCAGAGCTACAGCGAGGTCAAGACAGAGAGGGAGAGATCTTCCATCTGCTGATCCATTCCCCTTAGTGGCCACAATAGCCAGGTCCAGGCCAAACTGAAGCCAGGAAGCAATAACTCCATCCTGATCTCTCACATGGCTTCAGGGGAACCAAATTATTACCTGGACCATATTCTGCTACTTCCTCATGCAGATTAGCAGGGAGCTGGATCAGAAGTAGAGCAGCAAGGACTCAGAGCAGTGCCCGAATGTGGGGAGCCAGTGTCTCGGGTAGCTGCTTAACGTGCTTCACCTTAATATTGGCCCAAGTTGGAATTATAATTATGAACAAAAGAACCAACAGCTACTAACCATGCTGAGTTAATGAAAAAGCTTATTGACAAAGTGACACATGGGCAGGTGGCCCAGACCAACTCAGCTCTAAATCTCAGAGACATGGCAGAGAGTCAGTACCCTGCCTGGGTTATCTTCAGTTTCTTCCTCTTTCTTGTTTTACACCACAGGCAAGCTTTTTAACATGATTATCAAAAGGTTTTACTAATGGAAATGAAATGAGGATATCTGGTCATCAAGTAAAATTATCTGGTCACCAAAATGTTGGAAGTGGGGACGTAATTTCTTCTACCAGCAACCAGTTCTCTAATGGAAAATAAACCAGACGGGTATCCTCTGATTCAATCAATTCTGATGTGGTTTACCTGGAAATAGTGTCATGTCACAGGTTGAGGACTCACCCACCAATAAACTTCTCACATATAATCTTAATCAATTCTCTTACTACTTGGTATTCCAATGAGCCCCTCCATGTGATTGATTAGTTTGCTAATTTTTTTCACAGAGCTCAGGGAAACATGCGCACTTGCTAGTTTATTATACAGACTAGGACAAAGGTTAAAAACAAAGTGACAGATCAGGTGTAAGGCTTCCAGGCCGTACAGGTGTACTCTCCCAGCCTCACCGTGTGTTCAGCTTTCTGGAAGCTCTCTAAACCCTGTCCTTTTACATTTCTGTAGAAATTCCATTCTGTAGACATGATTGATTCAAATCATTGGTCATTGCTGATTAAATGAGTATCCAGCCCCACCCTTCCTTGAAGTTATGGGTTGCAGCTGAACAGTCTCAATCCCCAATCCTGTCCTGGTCATTCCTGCAACAAGACCCTAGCCATCGGTCAAAGTATTAGCATAGGGAAAGACACAGGTCAAGAAATAGGAATGCAAGACGAATGCTTCACAAAATCACAAGTGGCCTCACTGCCAGTGTTTGTTGTGGACCTGGGTAACACTGCCCCTTTGAGAATAACCCAGAGATATCAAGATCTGATGGGGACATCCCAGAAAATATCTTTCTCACCCAGACCAAACAACAGTTACACAGTGTTCTGGCTGAAATGCTTGTAAAGCAATCTCCTGTGATGATTCAAGGTATACTGACAACTATATTGATTATTTGCCTTTTTTTTTTCTGTTTTTAATGTAAGACATGTCTAGTGTCAATCAAATTCTGTCTCCTCAACAGATGAGCTCTAGTCCATGTCGTTTCATCTGTCGCCCAACTTTTTACTTTTCCTCATTCTTTCACCACTATCAGGAATGCTCACATGTTTATTTCGTTTTCTTTATTTTCACCTTGGTATTTTAACTTTTTGAGATAGCATACTTTTAAATTACATTGCAAAGACTTAATTGCTGTACTAAATAAAGTATTGAACAAATAAAAAGCCTGCAGTCTGGCAGGAAACTAGGCAAGGACTGAGAACAGTAATCAAATAAGAAGTTGTTCAACTTTACTCATATGAAGTGAGTTTTTTTTTTTAAGATGTATTTATTTTTATTGCATAGTCAAATATAGAGAGAGGAGGAGAGACAGAGAAGAAGATTTTCTGTCCGATGATTCACTCCCCAAGTGACCACAACGGCCGGTGCTCTGATCCGAAGCCTAGAGCCAGGAACTTCCTCCAGGTCTCCCACATGGGTGCAGGGTCCTAATGCTTTGGGCTGTCCTAGACTGCTTTCCCAGGCCACAAGTAGGGAGCTGGATGGGAAGTAGAGCTGCTGGGATTAGAACCAGCACCCATATGGATCCTGGAGCATTCAAGGCGAGGACTTTAGCCGCTAGGCCATTGCACTGGGCCCTGAAGTGAATTTTTTTAATACTGAGAAAATCGATACAGCAAAATAGTGTGTAATTCCCATTAATTTGACAAATATTTAAAGCAAAGTGTGACAAAACTATTTGCAGCAAAAGTAACACATAGGAGTTCCTCTTTTGTTGTTGTTTTGTTTTTAAACAATATTTTGACTGAACATATTATTGTTTTTTAAAACAATTTAAAAAAAGAATTTACGTTTCTCATTTTCACAGGAAGATTGAGTTTGGACACAAACAATAAGGGAAAGTCTTTCTTTTTTTCTTCTTTTTTTGTCATTTTTGAACACTGTGTTTAGGCCTAAAACCGGCGTGAAGATTAGAAGACTTGCATTTTTTTTCATTTTTATGTGTTTCTTTTTCTTTTTTTAGTGGGTAGACAAAATGGAAATTTTTGAAAGAGTGCGTACAGGTCATGTTATCAATTCAAAATGGTGCCTAAAGCTGCAGGTCATTTTTACAGAGGTAGCTAATGGTTTTCTGCTCTTTCTGTTCTAGCTACACCAGCTACCCTTGGCAGAGCATCCGAGAGTCTGCAAAGAGTTCATCCAGGCCTGGGAACAAGTAAGAATATCAATCCTTTTTCTACTTTCCATGACTTTTGAGTGTAATTCACACCACTGTGCTTTTTTTTACTTGTAATATTGGAAGAGTGTTTGAGTTGAAGTTTTACAGACAAGCAAAAATTTTCTGTCCACTTCTCTGCATAGCTGTTTCTTTATCTTCCTATTTTGCCGATGCTTAGAGGTTAAGCTAGGCTAGGCCAAATTAATAGGGAAAAATAGAAGGCATGATTTATTGTGAACTGGCATTTATTGAATTGAATAAATTGCTTTTTTTTTTTACAAATTCCTTTTAAAGCTATTATTATGATTTTGAAGTATGTATCTAGTGATTATACTGGCAGAAAGTTAAACTTAAGTCTCCAACTGTGTTACCTTACACTCCATAATTCTGCTTTGCATATGCTTACTCCTCTTAAAATGACCCTTTCCAATGTTTGGCAGTCTCCTCTTCATCCAAAAGACCGAGCTCAAATGCCAGCTCTTGGGAAAACCTCTCTAAATCCTCCAGCCTGAACAGTCTTCCTGTCTTCTGGACTTTCATGGAATTTTCCATCATCCCATGAAAGCGTTTGCCTCCTGTCATTTTAGTGCACACATGTACTTTTAAAGGTTTGTTTTGGTGGAAAACTTCTGCAATCCATGCATTTTCAAGGTCTTCAATAAGTTCATGAAAATTCATACTCTGGAAAAAACTGTGCCTATATTTCACAAAATATTTGCACCAAAATAAGTACATTTTTAAAAGATAACTTTACTATTGTTTATTATTGCTTTTATTATGAAAGGCAGAGTTACTGTTCCCAAGGGAGAAGATGAGAGATTGACATCTTCCATCTGTCTTCTAGTTCACTTCCAAATGTTTGCAATGGCCAGAGTTGGGCCAAGCCAAACCCAGGATCTCAGAACTACATTTGGTCTGCCATGTGAGTACCAGAGATCCAAGTGTGTAGACCATCTTCTGCTGCTTTCCTAGGCATATTAGCAAGGAACTAGATGAGAAATAAAGCAGGAAGAATTTTAAGCAGTACTCAAATGTGATGCCAGTGTCACAGGCAACAGCCCATCCCTCTCCCACAATGCTGCTCCCTAATATATCATTTTTAATTAATTAATTAGTTAATTAATTAATTAACCTACCTAATTAATTTATGGCAGAGAAATGGAGCTACAGAGAGAGAGATTCCATCCCCATGTTTGCTCCCTAAATGACTGCAATAGCTGGGGTGGGTGGAAGACAGGAGCCAGGAATCCATCGTGGTCTCCCACATGTGCACTAAATGTTTGGATCTCCTTCTGCTGCCTTTGCAGGAGCGTTAGCAAGATGCTGGATCATAAGTGGAACACTTAGAAGTCAATATGAGATGCCAACAGTGGCTTAACCTATTGTGTCACAATAGAAGCCCCAAGAACTTTTTGAAATATCCTTGAACATGTCAGCACTGTTTATAGAACTTAATGGATTGTGTGCATTTCATGAATGAATGAATTAGGCTGAACAATGCAAAGCCCATGTTTTATGCTTCTTCCAAACTTCTCACATCACTTTAGAAACATAATCATAGGGCACGGTGCGGAAGTCTAGAGGCTAAAATCCTCGCCTTGAACACACTGAGATCCCATAGGGCGCCAGTTCTAATCCCAACGGTCCTGCTTCCCATCCAGCTCCCTGCCTGTGGCCTGGGAAAGCAGTTGAGGATGGCTCAACATCTTGGGTTCTTGCACCCATGCAGGAAATCTGGAGGAAGTTCCTGGCTCTAGGCTTCCGATTGGCTCAACCCTGGATGTTGTGGTCACTTGGGGAGTGAATCATCGGACGGAAGATCTTCCTCTCTGTCTCTCCTCCTCTCTGTATATCTGACTTTCCAATAAAAATAAAATGCATCTTAAAAAAAAAACAATCACATAGGTGTGCTTTATGTCAATTTAAGAGTCCATATTATGACAGAGGGGAAACGGTCTATCTGATTGAGTTTTAGCTGCCACTGTCTGTTGGTGAGTGTGATGCCATAAAATCATAATTTGTATTTAATAACTAAATAGCAGGAAAAAGTGACTGATGTGAGATGTGAGATTTAAATATCATTTCTCTGGAGATGACCCAAAGGAGGACTGTAATTGTTTATAACCAATGTCATCCGCTTGTCAGTTGTGCCAGACCACAAACGTTTTACAATCCTCCTACTTTAGAAACATGTGCCATGATAATCTTCCCTAATGAACACCAGGGATTTTAAAAGGGGTGAATGTTTGGTTATGCTTGGGTTTTCCAGCCAGCATACTACAGAGCCTTCTCTCAAAGATGACCTGACCTATTGTTACTTTCTGCAGGGAAATGAGGCGGAAGGAGTTAAGAATGTTTTAATTAGTAGTGCGTTTTTCATTTTGGAACCATCCTCCAAGCACAAACATAATAGATTGTGCTCCTCTTTCTCCTAACGAGACAGTGTGACTTTTCTAAGCCATTTCCTGCATTAGGAAACAAGGTCTCAGGAACGTAAACATTGTGCCTTGTGGATATCAAACCTCTAGTTACAGTAGGTGCAGTGAAGAATTCCCATTCAGTCATTTGATGTAGGTTGACTTCTTGTCTGTGGTAAGTAAAAAAAGCTAGCTAGTTAGCAATAGTATGTAGAAAGCCACATAGCAACTCGTTTCCCCACATGAGGAAAGCCCCCGTCCTTCCAGCTTCTCATTGTCAACAATACTTATGCCCCAGGAAGGAACAAATAAAGTGTGTGTCTCTATCAGTGGGCACCTGTGATAATGCCTATGTTTGAGCTCTAGGTATGACAACGACCAAGTACCTACATTGCCTCACTGTATCACTATGTACATTACAGATATTGGATTCTCTTTTGTGCATCTAGAACTAAGTTCTGCAGGATAAAGGTGAAAGAATAAGATATTTAAAAATGGTTACTATGATATATATGTGTTCATTAAATTCTTCTTAAACACTTTAATTTAAAAAAGGAAAAACAGACTATGTGTCCTAGCATCAAAGGAATTCACACTCTAAGAAGACAATTTTACACATGTGTTCAGCATAAAAACGTTCTGAGAATATATAATTATAGTTACATGTTTCCTATGTGCACTTTTGTAAAGTCTCAGATTCAGAACAAAACCCAAGAAGGAAAAAAAGTAGAATCCTCTCAAGGGCAGGTGCCAGACAAAACGTGTCAAATATCAATGAGACAAATGCCGCCTTGAACTATCATAATACCCTTTTTGTTGCTGTTTTCTCCTCCCCATCCCTTCTTGCTTGGATCCGTTTTTCTCTGATCTACATGACACTAACTGTCCTCATTGCCCTCCTCTATATGTAACTGTGAAATCGCAAACCCTTGGGCTGGCATCATAATGCTAACCACTATGTGCAACACAAGCATCGTACATCAGAATGCCAGTTTGGAGTGCCAGCTGCTCTGCTTCCAGTCCAGCTGCTTGTTAATATGCTTGGAAAGGCAGCAGAGGATGAAGACTCAAGTGTTCAGGTCCCTGCCCATGGGAGACATGGTAGAGTTCAGGCTTCTGCCATTATTGGGTCAGACCAGGTTATTAAGGGTGTTTGGAGAGTGAACAAGTAAATAGAAGATTTCTTTCTAGTTCTTTCAACTGAATAAATATATACATACAAATGTACATTTACATGTGTATCTTTTTTAAGTTGCAAACCCTTCCCAAGACACTGTAAGTTACTACTCATTCTCTGTCCCCAGTCTGCAAGCTTGGAATACTTTCAGTTCCCCAGATGCACTGTGGCTTCTCTCCTCTGGGACATGCTCACGGCATTCCATCTTCAAGAAATATTCTTCCTCTACCCTACCCTTCATTCTGCAAATACAAACCTTGCCCTTGCTTTAAAGTTCAACCAAGACGCCGGTCTTCTTTGCCTGAAGTAATATTCTCCTTGCTTTTCTATGAGAGAAGCCATGCTATTTAGTACCGTTTGTGTTAAGTCTTCAGGATAGCCACAACACAGACCATAGACTGGGTGCCAAAAATGTGGAAATACATTTTCTCAGAGGTCTGTCAATGAGAGTCTGAGATCAAGGTGTTGACAGCATTGGTTCCTGATGAGCTCTTTTTCTCTCTCTCGCTTTTTCTCTCTTTCTCTCAGTGTGTGTGTGTGTGTGTGTGTGTGTGTGTGTGTGTGTGTGTGTGTGTAAGTGTGTCTTCTTGACTTGAAGGTGGCTTTCCTCTCCCCATGTCTACCCATGGACTATCCTGTGTGTCAGTTTGTATTCTTCTCTTCTTATGAAGATACATGATCTCATCTGATTAAGAACATCTGTGTCTTATTCAGAGTTTCATGTACTTTGGAGTGCCTAAAATGAATTTTATAAGAAATAAAGATATTGCAAATCAATGAACTAAATGAACAAATTGTTAACAGCTTCCTCATTATCTATTCTTCTACTCACTTAGCAATTCCCTCTAGCACCCTTTGTGATGGAGCCTTGTAGGCTGCCTGAAACCATTCATTCAGGATCAGATCTCCATACCTGGACACACTGTATTCTTAAGTGCTATGTGGTTGAAAGGACTCCTGGGAATATTAGGTAGTTTTTAGTTACAGAAAAGCTTTATTACAGACAAAGGATATAGAATAGAGGTGATGTGAGTTGACCAAGATATTGATATCTCATGGTCAGGATGACGATACAAGACACACTTTGTCTCCAGACTTAACACTGATACCTGCCTGCCAACCACCTCAGTGTCAGGAAATCCAAAATCTGGCCAAGGTGAAGTCTCCAATAGTGAGCAGGTCATGTAGGTTCAGTCTAGCTGTGTTGTCAGCTTCCAAATCTAGAAGGCAAAACAAAATTATGCACAAGTCATAAATCTAGTCACACACCTAAACAATACTAACAGGCTGGTACAGCCGTCATGAAACAGCTTCCATATCCAGGACCACAGAAGTTCTCTTACTTCTACTGAATATAGTCCTTCGCATTGGCCAAATGTCAGTATTTCTGGAGAGAAACATTG